AGATAAGAAGCAACAGTTATTCCAGATTGGAAGAAATCAGAGGAAGAATTCTAGAAATAAGAAGAATCAAAGGGAAAACATACACCCAATGGGATATACCAGCTCTCTAGCAATGGCCATCAACCAATTTCAGAACACCAACACAACAGAAGAAGAATTTTGAACATGAATTGTAAGAAAGCTCAGTGATATGCAAAAAAAAATGTATAACCAACACAATGAAAACATGAAAAGAAATCCAGGACTTGGAAAAAAATTCAGTACAAAAATTGCCATATTAAAGAAAAATCAAACCAAATTTCTAGAAATGAAGAACTTATTCAAGGAATTACAAAACAGTGAAAACCCTCAAGAAGAGAGTAGATCAAACAGAAGAAAAGATCTCAGGGATTGAAGATAACACATTTAAATTAAATGTCAGTCACAGAGATAGAGCAGAGAAATACGAGAAAAGAGCCAAACCTACAAGAATTGTGGGGTTATGATAAGAAGCCTAATATGACAATCATAGACATCCTTGAGGGTGAAGAAGAAAACACACAGGGTTGGATAAGGTATTTGCGGATATGATAGCAAAAAATTTCCCAGATAGTTTTGCTAAAACCTAGATATCCAGATATAAGAAGCTCAAAGGACTCCTGGGAAATTCATCATAAACAGGAAGAGACCACAACACACAGTCATCAGACTGACCAAAATAACCACCAAAGAGACCCTTCCACAAGCTGTAACGCAAAAGAAGCAGGTAACCTACAAAGGAAAGCTCATCTGAATTATGCCAGACTTCTCAACTGAAATCTTACAAGCAAGAAGAGACTGTGATCCAAGCCTCACTCTTCTCAAACAGAATAGTGCCCAGCTTAGAATCTTGTACCCTACCAAACTAAGTTGTGTATATGAAGGACAAATAAAAACATTCTCAGAAAAGCAAAGACTGAGGGAATTCACCAAGACAAGACCTACCTTCCAGGAATATTACATACAGATCAGCACAATAAACACTCACTGATGTATAATAACCCAAAAGCTAAAGGTCAAAGGCCAGATACCACAATTTCTCAAGAGAAACAAACAAACAAACAAACAAACAAATAAAAACTAAAGTTTAACTCAACAGAATGAACAGAAATCTGAACCACTTAACTATTCTCTTAATAAACATGAATGTTTCAACTGCCCACTAAAGAGACATAAACTAGCTGAATGGATAAATATACACAAGCCAAGTATCTGCTGTCTCTAGAAAACACACCTAACCTGCAAGGATGCATTCAGATACAAGATGAAGGGATTGAAAACAATATTTCAAGCAAACAGAAGCCAAAAGAAGGCTGGTGTGGCAATTTTGGTTTAACATAACTTAATCTTTAAATCAACAAAAGTAATGAAAGACAAAGAGGGTCTCTATGTAATAGTGAAGGGTACAGTATAATAAGAAGACATAGCAATTCTAAATATTTATGCACCCAACTCAGGTGCACGCAGATTCAACAAGCAATTCCTACTGGATTAAACAAAATGATAAACAGCACACCATAATAGCGGGCGATTTCAACACCTCTCTGACAGCACAGGACATATCCTCCAAAGAGAAAATTAACTTAAGCAATGAACTTAAACACAACTCTAGAACAAATGGGCCTGATTGACATTTATAGAACATTCCACCAAAAAACCACCGAATATATGTTCTTCTCATCAGCTCATAAGACATGCTCTAAGATTGACCATATCCTAGGTCACAAAAAATGTCTCAAAAAATTTAAAACAAATAGAAATTATACCATGCATCTTCTCAAACCACTGTGAAATAAAATTATGAATCAACTCCAACAGAAACTCTTATCTTTACACAAAGTCATGGAAACTAAACAACATTCTTCTCAATGATTATTTCATTAATGAGGAAATCAAGATGGAAATCAATGCTTCCTTGAACTAAATGGAAAAAGAGACACAAATTGTCAAAATTTGTGTGAAACAGATAAATCAGTCCTGAAGAGAAATTTATTTCACTAAATGCCTACATCAAAAAATACAGAAAGATCACAAATAAACCAACTAAGGAGCCATCTCAAAGAACTGGAAAAGGATGAGAAAACTGACCCCAAGCCCAGCAGAAGTAATGAGATGACAAAGATCAAAGCTGAACTAAATGAAATTGATAATAAAAAACCTATACAGAATTAATAAAACAAAAAGTTGGTTCTTTGAAAAAGTAAACAAAATTGACAAGTTTCTGGCTAGATTAATGGGAAGCAGAAAAAAGGAACTCTAATAAAGCTCCTTCAGGAAAGAAAAAGGAGAAATTACAACTGATGTCATGGACATAAAAATATCATCTGTTAACACTATAAAAACCTCTATACACATAAACTGGAAAATGTGGAGCAAAGGGACAAATTCTCAGAAACATATAGCCTCCCTAGCTCAATCAGGAAGAAATAGAATTCCTGAACAGACCAATGTCAAGTACCAAAATTGAAACAGCAATTTAAACCCTCACTAAAAAGAAAAGTCCTGGACCAGATGATTTCACACCAAATTTTATGAGACCTACAAAGAAGAACTGGTGCTTATCCTGAAATTATTACACAACATTTAGAAGGAAGGGATCCTCCCCAACACATTTTATGAAGCAAACATCACCCTGATACCAAAACAAGGAGAGGATGCAATAAAAAAAGAAAACTACATATCAATATAGAAAACCCCAAAGATTCTTCCATGAGACTACTGGAGTTGATAAACTAATTCAGCAAAGTATCGGGTTACAAAATCAATGTTCAGAAATCAGTAGCATTCCTATACACCAACAACAGTAAAACTGAGAACCAAATGAAAGATTCAATGCCCTTCACAATAGCAACTAAGGAAATAAAGTACCTAGGAATATATTTAACTAAGGAGATAAAAGACATCTACAGGGAGAACTATGAAACACTGAGGAAGGAAATAGCAGACGATGTAAAGAAGTGTAAAACCATATCTGGCTCATAGGTCAGCCAAATCAACCAAATGACTATACTACCCAAAGTCATCTACAGATTTAATGTAATCCCTATTAAAATACCAACATCATTTTTGTCACCTCTAGAAAAAATAATTGTATGCTTCGTATAGAACCAGAGAATAACTTGTATCACAAAAGCAATCTTAAGCAAAAAGAACAAATTGGGAGGCATCAATTTATCAGACTTCAAGATATACTACAAGGCTATAGTAAGTAAAAAGCGTGGCACTGGCACAAGAACAGAGACATAGACCAATAAAATAGAACTGAGAATCCAGATATAAAATCATCTTCATATGGCCATCTAATCTTTGACAAAGCAGACAAAACCATACACTGGGGAGAGAATCCTTATTCAATAAATGGTGCTAGCAAAAGAGGGTAGCCACACGTAGAAAACTGAAACAAGATCTACACATTTCACCTCTCACAAAAATCAATTCATGGTAGATAACAAATTAAAACATAAGGCATGAAACTATAAAATTCTAGAAAAAATGTTGGAAAAACTCTTACAGACATTGGCCTAGGTAAAGAATTTACAGAAGACTGAAACAAGCTCCACACCTTTCACCTCTCACAAAAAATCAACTCACAGTGGATAACAGATTTAAACCTAAGATGTGAAACTATAAGAATTCTAGAAGAAAATGTTGGAAAAACTCTAAGGACATGAACAGAAACTTTTCTAAAGAAGACAGAATAATGGCTAACAAACATATGAAAAAATGCTCAACATCTTTAATCATCAGGGAAATGCAAATAAAAACTGTAATGAGATATCACTTATCTCAAGTAAGAATGGCCTTTATCACAAAGTCCCAAAACAATAAATGTTGGCATGGATGAGGAGAGATAGGAACACTCATACACACTGGGTGGGACTGAAAAACTAGTACAACCTCTGTGGAAAGCAATATGGAGAAACTTCAAAGAGATACAAGTAGAACTACCATTTGATCCACCGATCCCATTACTGGGCATCTACCCAAAAGATCTTCTATAAAAAAGACACTTGCACTAGAATGTTTATAGCAGCACAATTCACAATTGCAAAGATGTGGAAACAACCCTGTGGTATATTTATACCGTGGAGTTCTATTCAAGCATAAAAAACAATGGTGATATAGCACCTCTTGTAATTTCCAGTATGGAGCTGGAACCCATTTTCCTAATTGAAGTATCGCAATAATGGAGAAAAAAATCACCACATGTACTTATCATCAAATTGATTTTAACTGGTCAACACTTAAGTGCACATATAGTAGTAACATTCATCAGGTGTCAGGCAAATAGAGGGGCAAGGAAAGGATGGGGATATATACACCTAATGGGTGAGGTGTGCATCATCTGGGGGATGGACATGCTTGAAGCTCTGACTTGGGTGGGGCAAGGGACATATGTGTAACCTAAACATTTGTACCCCCATAATATGCTGAAATAAAAAAGAAAAATTAAATAAAATAAAAGAAATAAGAAGTTGATATAAGTATTGAATCATTTCTTTACCCAGATTTACTACTTATCCACTATTTGACATCATAAATTTTTTTAATAAAGTCTTTCATCATATGCAATACTGTGCTTTCAAACATTTTATAGCACTTTAATTCTGGTGACTAACTGATCAATGCCTGTTTCCACATAAATTCTATGCTCTATGAGGGCAATGCAATTTTGATAAAGCCTCATAAGAGATAAAGAAGAAATAATATTAATAAATATTAATAGTAGGTCAAAAGCAGTTTTGCTTTGCTACATTTTCTCTGACAAATGGTGTTGAAATTCTGATTTCAGCCTCTACTCTTTCACACAGTCTTTCTTTGGCCTCTTAAAGTGAATGTGCCACCATCAGGGGAGAGTGGTATCTTAGGGTAGATGTGAATTTAATATCTGTAGAAATTTTATGCAACAATAATTTACTAATCATAATAACAATAATTCCCTTTTTCTTGACAGATAAGGTTTCATTTTTCTTCTTCTTTAGGTTAAATGATAATATTTACTTCAAGTGCAACTGAATGCTTGAGAAAAGTTGATGCTAAACGTTTTTTTAAGCTGAAACAAAAGGGAACTTTTCTACAATCCTTCAATATCTACTACTCTGAAACTGCTTACACCAAAGGCATAAGAAAGTCATAGTGATTTATGAATGATGACCACCTGCAAAGAAATGGTAAGACTGCAACTTTTCTCCCTTTTCTTGACAACATTCCTCTTGCTGTTTTCCAACTTATGACAAGTAATTGGAGTCAGTCAAACACATAACAAGCTAATTTTCCTTTTCTCTTTTTTCTCAACTCAATACACCCATATTCTTCAAAAGGAAATGTAACAATGTGTCTGTCACTTAAAATGTATTAGCAGATGGATCTTTAAAAATAGTAAAAGGGAAATATGGAATAAATTTCAAGATGATACAGGTTAATATATTCATCCAACTTTTTACTTTTCTAAGATAATTTTTAGATTTAGCTAATTAGTTTTAATGAACAAATGATAAATAGAATAGTCAACTGTGTTGCTTCCATGGAGCTTAATATGAGTGACTGGAGATGGGCAATAAACAAGTCATCAAAATGTAAAATACCACGTTTCGCCCAAAATAAGACAGGACCTTATATTTATTTTTCCTCAAGAAGACACCCTAGAGCGTATTTTCAGGGGATGTGTTATGTTTTTAAGTACGGTACAACAATCTACATTTATTCAAATATAGTTAATTTGTCTTACTCTGGAACATCATCATAATTCTCCAAACCCTGAATTCCATCCTGAATTTCTTGTGACTCTGTTTCCTTTAGAACCATTGGCCCCAATCTCTCATGTTGAGCAATAGAGCTCTCATGGAGCAAATTAGAAGGGCTGCTCATTTTCTTTATTGCTCCACAAAGAAATGCATGGGTTGTGCAGATATGCTGTGTAGCCATGCCCATCACTAGGTCTTATTTTTGGGGTAGGGCTTATATTGCTCAAATGCTTAGAAATACTGCTAGGGCTTATTTTACGGGTAGGCCTTATTTTGGGGGAAACACGGTATATAACTTCTAATTGGAAAACTTAGCACACAAGTATAGCTACTTATTTTATATTTAAATATACATGATGCATATTTTATTAATTCATTCATGTATAGATGAGCACATCGGTTGTTTCCACATCATTCTAATTGTGAATTGTGCTGCTATAAACATTCAAGTACAAGTGTCTTTTTTATAGAATGTCTTTTTTTTCTTTGGGTAAATATCCAGTAGTAGGATTGCTAGATCAGACGGTAGTTCTACTTTTAGTTCTTTGAGGTATCTCCATATTACTTTCAATATAGGTTTTTTGCAGTCCCACCAGCAGTATATGAGTGTTCCCCATCCATGCATGGAATATTACTCAGCCATAAAAAATCAATGATGAACTAATATCTCTTGTATTATCCTGTATGAGGCTGAAGGTCTTTCGTAAAAGTGAAGTATGTAAAGAATGGAAAAACAAACACCACATGTACTACCATTAACTCGGCACTATCTGATCAATACTTACGTGCACATGTGGAAGTAATATTCATCTGGTGTTGGGAAGGTGGGAACAGGGAAGAGGAGATGGGTAAATTTACACCTAATGGGTGTGATGCACACTTTCTGGAACTAGGCATGCTTGTAGTTCTGACTCAGTGCAAAAGCAATATATGCAACCAAAGTGTTTGTACCCCCATAATATTATGAAATGAAATAAAAAAATTCAAAAGATAAAAAATACATGATGTGGGGTGATGGCAGTATTAAAGATACTAATTTTCAAAAATTACATGTACATAGTACAAAACTGTTGAGGTTACCAGTTGGTAACCTATGGAGAAGGCTTAGATGGAGACTAAGAAGGAAATAGGAATTAAAAACATCTCTCTAAGCTGTTCTCAACTTATATAACTGTAATGTTATTATTATCAAAGTCTGGAAATTGACATTAATACAATGCTATTAGTCATTATAGAGATCATAGTCAAATTTCATTAATTGTCTCACTAATTTCTAGACTCCATCACACATTGCAACTAGATGTCTTATCTCTTTAATCTCCTTCCAGTATTAAGTTGTAAAAGAAAGAACCAGGAAGGACAAACAATAACTGTATACAAATACTTATTCCAATTAATAAATATGTTTTTCACAGAGGTATGGGTTAATAACCCTAAAACTTCTTTTTGAGTATTCTAGAATTCAGCAAATATCTACATATATTGAGGATAATAAAAGCAGGGTCCTTACTGAGTACATAGTGGCTGCAAATGCAGAAAGAGTAAAACTAGACTAAGCTCCAGAAATTGGATTAAAATATTTGGTATCCTCATTAAATAATGTTTTATAATGTATTAGCAATAGGTATAAAAATATATATTTGTGTTTATGTACATATATAATGCATAAAATCAGAGCCTTTAGCAATTACAAAAAGTAAGAAAGTTAAACTCAGAAAAAAAAGCTAAAATTGTCTATACTTAATTTCTATAAATATTAAAATAAAATTGCTCTACTTTAACCTAAAGACAGTGGGTATGCAGTGAGTAAATGTTGATATTTCTGAGATCAACTTGTATTTTTTTGGCAAAATAAAGAATATCAAATTTGAAAATTATAAATATGTTTTAAGCACAATAAACATGAAATGACTTTCAACTTTTCACAATTAAAAATAATTTCTACTGCACATCAGAGGCTTGTGGATGATACACACAAAAGTCTATTTGTAGGCTGGGCATGATGGCTCATGTCCGTAATCCTAGCATTTTGGGAGGCCTAGGTGGGAGGATCACTTGAGGCTAGGAGTTCCACACAAGCCTGGGTAACATAGCAAGACCACATCTCTAACAGAAGAAAAAAAATTACTAAAAATCTGCTTGTAGAATACAAGATCAGATAGATATTCAGGATAGAAATTTGGTTAAGGTTTAATAAATATTAAGCACCAATTCTCAAAATAAGGGATGCACCTAGAACATCCTTTGCACACTGCCTTTGAGGGGATTTAAGTCTCCATAAAGACTGTATCTACAAAGAAATTTGGGTATTTTTGCCTAAAATCACTAATTAACGATCCACAAATTGGAAAGCAAATGTTTTATGTCATAAGAGCCCATAAGAAATAGTGAAAAATAAAATACAGAAGAAAGATTACTTAAAGAGTAGTCTAGACATGATCATAATACATTTGACATATATTTAATTGAGTATGTATCTTGTGCCGGGCATTATGTCAGACCTTGTTAGAACAGAGCAGAGCATTTTGTTAATAACATGAAGATTTTTTGCTGAGAATTTTGAGTTGTTTACCAGTTATACTGAAGCATATTTTATTTAGTTTCACATGAACTTGAAATAAGTCTTAATCTTCTTTTGTTTACACAGAACAGTTTGAATCAGCCATATGGCAAAATCTGAATATATTTCTTAATTTGAATATTACTTTGGATGAATGGAGAATTTTCTCAATCTTGAATGCAAACATTATTTTAGATGTCATATGCTTATTGAAAAAATAAATACTGTGTATAAATGTAAGTTATTTTTCTCTCTTGCTTTTTCATTTTCCTATGGCATTGCTTTAACCAATAAGTAAAATAACAGTGATTAAAAAACACTAACAAAAAGTCAACTAGATCCAATAATAAAAGTGACATATCATTTACTTCTTTTCATGATAGTCACTACATGTGCCATTGAACTGTTCATGCATTCATATGATCATTGACTCTTTTATTTAAGATAAAAATGTGACCATACAATTAAAAATGTGTGTGTTTTTTTTAAAGATAACTTCCTTTCATCTTGGTAATTGTTGAAATGATAGATCTTATTGTTCCAGACTGATTTAAGCTGTCTTGAAGTGAGGATGCCATATTTACATATCTACTCAAGGTGAAAGAGATAAATTGGTATTACCTTGTGAAATGTAATAATTCAACTATTTAAAAATATGTTAATGGATTAAAACAAAAGCACCTGCCCCATGAGTATAGAATAGACATTAATATATTATAATACTACCCTTTCATAAAGAAACAAATTAACATTAATATGATTTTCTGTCACCATTCTATATGTATTTCAAATTTATAGATATTATTATCTTTATTAAAATACACATTCAACCCAAGAAGCAGAAAGTCTTACCATGAAAAAAGTTAGTCTGGCATTTCAAACTGTCCTTTTCACTCCTTACTGTTATTTCTAAGCAGTACTCTAATTCTGCTAGCTATTATTCCCCACATATGCCAATTTCACTTTTGTCAATAAAAGCAATATTTCATTGATGTTAAGCTTATTTCTAGAAGCAGTCTGAATATCTACATAGTGTCTCTATATCAGCTTGTTGCTTTGCTTCTCTCTTCTGGGCTCAAGTAAACAACTGCATCCTACTGATGGCTTGGTTGGGGTTGCTTAAGTTTGTTAAAGGCTCACATGTTGGTGTTGCCAGTTAAGATGTTTAAACAGAAGGAATTGCCAGGATTTATATTAATGTGACCTTGGATTTCTTCACGGCATTATATTCTCAGGGTTTTGATAGAATAATAGCAAAAATTTATAATTTTTTTGAGGTCTAGAATCAAAAGTCACAAAATTCACATCTGCTGTATTCTGTTAGGAAAAAAAATGTCAGAACGATTCTTATGATTTCATGCCTTAGGTTTCAATTTGTTATCCATCGTGAGTGGCTTTTTGTGAGAGGTGAGAAGTGCAGATCCTGTTTCAGTCTTCTACAGGTGATTATCCAATTTTCCGAGCACCATTTATTGAATAGGGATTCTTTTCCCCAGTGTATGTTTTTGTCTGTTTTGTCAAACATTAGATGGCTATGTGAGATGGTTTTGTATTTGGGTTCTCAGTCCTATTCCATTGGTTCATATCTCTGTTTTTGTGTCATTGCTATGCTGTTTTTGGTTGCTATAGCCTTGTAATATAGCTTGAAGTCTGGTAAATTGATGCATCCCAATTCGTTCTTTTTGCTTAAGGTTTCTTTAACTATTCAGTTTCTTCTTTGGCTCCATACTAGGCATAGAATTAGTTTGTTCTAGATCTGCAAATATTGATGTTGGTATTTTAATAGAGATTACATCAAATCTGTAGATCACTATGAGTAGTATAGACATTTTAACTATGTTAATTCTGGTGATCCATGACCATGGTATGGTTTTCTATCTGTTTACATACTCCGGTATTTCCTTCCTTGGTGTTTTATACTTCTCCCTATAGAAGACTTTCACCTCCTTAGCTAAATATATTGCTCGGTATTTTATTTTCTTTGTTTCTATTGTGAAAGATATTGAGTCTTTCATTTGGTTCTCAGTTTGACTGTTGTTGGTGTATATGAATGCTATTGATTTGTATGCATTGATTTTGTAATCTGAGACTTTGCAAAATTTACCAATTCCAGTAGTCTTTTGGCAGAATCTCTGGAGTTTTCTAGACATAAGATTGTATCATCGGCATAAGAATCCTAGAAGAAAATTTTGGAAAAACTTTTTTAGACATTGACCTAGGCAAATAATTTATGAAGAAGACCCCAAAAACAATCACAGCAAAAACAAAAATAAATAAATGGAACCTGATCTAATTAAAAAGCTTCTGCACAGCTAAGAAAACTACCATTGGAGCACATAAACAATCTACAAAATGGGAGAAAATATTTGCATGCTACACATCTGATAAAAGGCTGATAACAAGAAGAAATATAGAAGTCAGGAAAATCAATGAGAAAAAAATCAAACAACTCCATTAAACAGTGGATAAAGGAGGACATAAACACAAAATTTTAAAAGAAGATAGACTACTGGGCACAAAACATGAAAAAAAGCTCAACATCTCTAATCATCAAGAAAATGCAAATCAAAACCACAGAGAGATATCAATTAACTCCAGTGAGAATGGATTTTATCAAAAAGTTCTAAAACAACAACTGTTAGCATGCATGAGGAGAAATGGAACACTCATACACTACTGGCAGGTCTGCAAATTTTACTATCTCTATGTAAAGTAGTATGGATATTCCTCAAAGAGCTAAAAGTAAAACTACCATTTAATCCAGCAATGCCATTACTGGGCATCAACATAGAGGGAAAAAGACATTTTATATAAAAGACTCTAATATATACTCTAATATTTATAGCAGCACAATTCACAATTGCAAAGAAGTGGAAGCAACCCAAATGTCCATCAAACCATGAGTAGATTAATAAAATGTAGTATATGAAATCTTTAACAAAATTTTAGCAAATAGAATTCAGCAGCACATCAAAGAAAATAATTCACCATAACCAGGTGGGCTTTATTCCAGGGATGCAAGGCTGTTTCAACATACACAAATCTATAAATGCGATTCACCTCATAAATAAAAGCAAGAACAAAGTCCATGGTTCTCTCAATAGATGCAGAAAAAGCATTTAACAAAGTCCAAAACACCTTTTTGATAAAAACTCTTAACAAAATAGACCTAGATGGCTCATATCTTCAAATTATCAAGTCCATTTATGACAAACCCATGGCCAATATCATACTGAATGGGGAAAAATTGAAACGATTTCCACTTCGAACCAGAACTAGACAAGGATGCCCACTATCTCCATTTCTATTCAACATAGTGCTCTAAGTCCTAGCTATAGCAATCAGACAAGAGAGGTGTATTAAGGGCAACCAAATAGGGGAAGACTAGATCAAACTCTCGCTCTTTTCCGATGATATGATACATCCAGAAAACCTCATGAATTAGTTCAAGAGACTCCTAGACTTGATAAATGAATTCAGTAAAGTCCCAGGTTACAAAATCAATATACACAAATCAGAGGCATTCATATATGCCAATAACAGTTAAGCCGAAACTCAAATAAAAAATTCAATACCTTTTACTATAGCCCCAAAGAAAATTAAATATCTAGGAATAGATTTAACAAAAGATACAAAAGACTTATGCAAGAAGAACTACGAAATGCTAAAAAAAAGAAATTTTAGAAGATGTAAACAGATAGAAAAATCAACCTTATTCATGGATTGGTATAATCAATATAGTTAAAATGTCAATATTACCTAAAGTGATCTACAGAATAAATGCAATCCTTATCAAAGTACCATCATCATTCTTTACAGATCTAGAAAAAATAATTCTTCAGTTTGTATGCAACCAGAAAATACCTCATATAGCCAAAGCAATCTTAAATAAAAAGAACAAGCTGAAAAGCATCAGTCTTCCAGACTTCAACCTGTACTACAAAGCAATAATAATTAAATCAGCCTGCGACTGGCACAAGAACAGAGACATTTGATCTTTGGAACAGGACTGAGATTCCAGAGATGAAACCATCTGCATATGATAATCTAATCTTTGATAAAGCAGACAAAGTGAGGAAAAGAATATATTTTTAACAAATGGTGCTGGGAAAACTGAATAGCTATATGCAGAAGAGTGAAACTGGATCCCTACCTATCTATCACCTCTCACAAAAATTCTCTTTAGATGAGTATCAGACTTAAACCTTAGGCATGAAACCTTAAGAATCCTAGAAGATGATTTGGGGAAGACCCTTTTAGACATCGGCCTAGGCAAAGAATTTATGAAGAAGACCCCAAAAGCAATAACCACAGCAACAAAAATAAACAAATGGGATCTGATCAAATTAAAAAGCTTTTGCACAGCCAAGGAAACTATCATTACAGTGAATAGACAACCTACAGAATGGGAGAAAATATTTGCTCTCTACACATCCAATAAAGGTCTGATAACAAGAATCTATCTAGAACTTAAAAGAATCAACAAGAAAAAAATCAAACAAACCCATTAGTAAATGGGCAATGGAAATGAACAGAAACTTTTCTGAAGAAGACAGAATAATGGCCAGCAAACATATAAAAGAATGCTCAACATCTCTAATCATTAGAGAAATGCAAATCAAAACCACAATGAGATATCACATAACTCCAGTGAGATTGGCCTCTATCAAAAAAAAAAAAAATTCCCCAAAAAACAATTGCTGGCAGCACAATTCACTATTGCAAGGATGTGGAAACAATCCAAGTGCCTGTCAATTCATGAATGGATTATTAAAATTTGGTATATGTATATAATGGAATATTACTCAATTATAAAAATGACAGTGATCTAGCACCACTTATATTTTCCTGGATTGCGTTTCAGCTCATTATCTGAAGTGGGGTGACACAAGATTGGAAGAATTGGCTCCGCATGACTCCCATCCAAAATGAGCTGATAAACACTATGGTGCTCAAATGGTATTGGTGTTCTCCAGGGATTAGGGGGATGGGGGTAGACTCATAACTGAGGGATGTGGTGAGCATTGTGGAGGGGGAAGGCATACCTCTAATCCTTGCTAGGGAGAGGCAGAAATATAAAATGTAACCAAAATGTTTGTACTCTCATTTTTTCCTGAAATAAAAAAGTAAGCTAAAAAAAATAAAATGTAATATATGTATACCATGG